AAAGGTTGGCTCTGATTCCAGGTTTTGAATCAGGCCCATCTCAACCCAATCCACTTACACTAGTGAACTCTGTAGTTGGTGGGCGATCTGAGCACAAAGCAAACGAGGGTAAGGTTGCGCCACATGTGTTCTCCAGCGACCTTCCTCGTCCCGGCCGGACAATGCAACATGGCGCTTGCCGGAGTGTTGGCAGCGACCTCCCAGTGGTTGGCAGGTCAGTGCACATGCTTGGAGCGAAGGGAAACCCCATTCCAACAGTCCTGTAGCCTTTCTCCAAGGCGTCCCAAAACAACAGAAATGTGTTTCATGGAGACGTGCCCCAAAGGTTTTCAATGCCAAAGCTTGCGGCGTGAGCCAGATCCGGGATGTATAGGGGTTTTCCATGACCCAGGGAATAGACAAATGGCAAGCAAGGTCAATGTAAAACTTTGAGGTGAACAGCAACTCATTGCCCAAGCTAACTTTTGTGCGATCATGTGGATGTAGATCGGCAAACCCCCAAAGATTTTCACAATCGTCCCTCAAGGGCGGAGGGCCACCGTCGTGCCTTCTGGCACGCGACCAAGTAAGTGCAAGGAGTGCCCAGCCAGATCAACGCAATACGACTTCGATGCTGCTTGACAAATCGAGTCAAGTCCAGGCGGATTCTGGCATCCAGGAGGTCACAGCCTGCGCCATAGTCAATGTCATAGGCAATGGCTGTGAAACCATGCGCTGCCATGGCCTCTGAAAGGCGTGCGCATCCTGAGAACAGCTCAATAAACAGCTTTCCATTGTCTATTGCTGAGGGTGGGTGAAAAACTTTGGGCCCAGCTTTCTCATCTGCTCTTCCAACTGCAAAACAAGCTTTTGTGTCGCCAGTGGTAGGCGATGGTATTCCTGATTCAAGCGGCCATGCTGCTCGTAGCGACGGAGACTGGCATCCGCGGCCCATCGGCCTCTGGCTTTGATCTCCATCAGCGATCTGAGACGGTGGCATCGATCGAACGAAGGTCCAAAGTGGCGAAGCTGATGGAGCACGGCATGGTTGTGCTCCAGTCCTACGTCGACGAGTGCTTGTTTCCAAGCACTCACCATCTCCGTGTATCCCAGGTCGAAAAGGAAGGGACCTGGGGATTGGAGCTGCTCGAGGGCTAGTCCCAGCCATTGCGCCTGCACGGCATCCAGTTGGATTGATTCTTCTGAGATTCCAACTTTTGAGGCCTCGTGTCGTTCGGCAGGATGAAGATGCAATGTATGAAACTCTTGCTTCGGCATCGGCTTCGCCAGATCTGTCTTCTGAATGGCCAGACACTCGCCTGGCCTCAGGTGAGCAGTGAACATTGTCAGGGTTGCCAACGCCGGCTGCAGGCGGCCCCGCCTCCTCATCTTCATGGCGAGGCTCGCCACCAGCTCCCATGGAAGGGGAGGTCGTGTCTTTTGAGGGTCGACCTTCCCCCAACCCTGCAGCGCCCGGACCATCCGAGGCAACATGCCCTTCGGGCCATAGTCTGGGAACGCATCTTTCACTGCGGCCACAAATTTTGAGCCTTCGTGGAACTCGACGCCCTGCTCGAAGATGTCGTTGAGAAATCTGGTGCAGGCCTCGTCCAATTCTTGGGACCCTTCAAAGAAAACTTCTGCATCTTCGAGAATCGTCTCAAGTCCTCTATTCTTCGTGTATAGTCCCGGGCGACAGCCTCTGAGACTGCCAATCGCTCCAAGTTCGTCTGTCCCTTGAAGCGGGGTGGATCCGTTCTTTTGGCCACCACTTGCGCTCGAGTCTTTGCCTTCTCTGCAGGCTTCTTGTCGAAGTGGGTCATCAAAACCTTGCCTCTCTTCTTCTGGGGACAAGGGACCGAATGCAGCTTGTCCATGGTCTTGTTGGCCAGTTCGAGTTGGGTAGCACCTTTCATGAATCCTCCGAAGCTCCTGCCTCTCACTGGCTCGGCCAGCAACATGCTGTTTTCTAAGATGCTCCCACCTTCGAGAACCCTTGTCAGCAACGTTCAACTCCGACGGAATCCAGCGAGTGGACAGGTAGGAGTCAGTACATAGCAGCAACGCACACAGTCTTCTACAAACCTTCAACATGGGGAAGGTGCTCGAGCGTCCCTTAGAAATCATCAACACCATGCTCATGTTGTCCCCAAAATGCAAACGCCGCCTTGCAAAATGCTGAACTCACCGAAATTTGTGCCTAAGTGAAAATACAACACCTCTGGCCTCAAGCAACGTGATATGCTCAGCATGTTTCATATGCACAGCGAAAGCTTCATGCCAGTGGTCCTGCTGCATCACTTCGGGGGGAACTTCAAGAAACTTCTCGTTGAGCTCAAAAGGATCTTCAGGTTCCAAATCCGTCCGTAAAGGCTTAACAGTAGAAATGTCAGAAAAGCAGCTTCACGTGGCGGTGGAAGCTCCCTGTACCTGTATCGCCAGGGTTCTCTCTGTGCACCTATGAGGGCTACTTCCTCACGAGGCAGCTCACGTGTGCATACAGCAATGCCTGACAGAGAGGCGTCACTGCTGGTCACCTTCTCACTCCAAGTTCGCTTGAGGTCAACACTGCATAGGCCCAAAAGACTGGAGGCCCAACGCGCTTCTCTTGCTGCTGATGGAAAAAGCACGCTCTTGTAGTGATAACTCTTTTGAACAAAATCGTACATGGATCTGAAAACCGAAAGCAACTCACGTCGAAGAAGCATGAAATGAATGCAATGCCCAATAAGCCGCTCTACTTGTTTCCCTGAAACCCACGGACGCCTGCCAAGCCAATCCAGTGCCAGCTTCACCTTCTGCAGCCTTTCCGGAATTGGCGTGACAATACCCCTCTGTCCATCGATCAGGAAACCAAGGCTTTGCCCAATGGGACATGCTTCAAGTTCTTCATGCACTCTGAATCCGATTTGCCGGAGCCTTCGAACGATCTTGTCCTTCACCTCTTGAACTCGAAGTTCATCAATGCCTGCAACGTTCAGATTGTCAGCGTAGGGGATCAAAATGACCTCTTTGTCTGAAATGTCTGGAGGGGCCTTGCTCTCAACCACGACCCGGTCAATGCTAAGACCTCCAGCCTCAATGCACAGATGGGTGTGAACACGTTGTGCAACCCACATTGCCCAACTCCAGCCCATGGGAATCACCCGCAGCATCGGGAAAGTCCAGCCTTCTGCATCCTCATCCACAGTCGCCATGTCGACGTTCCAGTCCTGCAAGGCCGACTTGGCAATGGCCGGAAGACAGAACAGGCTTTGTAGTTCTTGTGGTAATGCAAGGCTGTAAAAATAGTCCTTGATGTCGGATTGAGCCAGATACAACGTAGAGCCCTCTGGGATCGCCACCTGGGCCCACGAGGTACCAGCACCCAAGGCCAGTGGTGGCGGTTTTTTGAAGCGTTTGTTCACGGCTCGACAATCAAGAATAAGGCGTAGTCGTCCATTCTTCTTTTTGACGAAAAACGGAGGAGCAATTTCCCGTGGCCTCGAGGTGAAAGAGATCATCCCCTTTGCATGCAAGTCCTGAACGAAAGAAACGTACAACTTTTGATCTTTCTGCAACCTCTCATCCATATATGGCCTCACCAAATCTCCCTCTTCCAGCACCCGCCCCCACTCCTCATCCGAGAGAAGCATACTGCATTGAGGATCACCAAGTACTTGTCGTCCATGTTCATCAAGGACCTGGTCCAGTGCTATCGGACAATCTCCCGTGTCGGGAAGCGAAACAAGCTCTCGGTCATAGGGGCGTACCGTGCTGACAAAATCCTCCTGTCCGTAGGAGGAGTCACACTGCAGAAGCTCTTGAACAGCCTCACGCATACTGCATTGTTTTTGAGCCCTGGGCATTCGGGCCAATTGCTGAAAAATTGCATGCTGACTAGCCCTCTGTGCTTCACTGACTCTAGTTTCACAAACATTGGACTGTGCGGCATACATCTCGTTCAAACTGTCAATTACACGATTTGACTCCTCAACCAAACCACGGACCTTGGCCTTCCTTCGTCTAGAAGATGTGGAAAGCCCGTAGCCTGAGCCGGGAGGGACCGCGTGCGGCAGTGGAAAAAGCTCACGCCATCGTTCTTCTCGATTGAAGTCATTGAGCTCACGGCCATGGAAAGGATCGAATTCATCATCAGCAGAGCATGCAGGGAAGGGTGGCACCCCTGCTGTCAAAGCGCCACCCGGACTTCTTCTCATTTCTGATCTCCGCCGCCTCCCCCCTTCTTGTCTCCGGGTTTCGACGGCGTGCTTGGGCCTCTTCTTTAGCCTTGCGGCTTTCCTTGAGGATCATGGCCTCGGACTTCAATTCCGCTGCCACGTGATGGGCGAGGTCAGGGTCGACACCATGCGCTCCCTTGCAGTAGCGCCATCCCATGAAAAATTCTGCTGAGCTGTAATCTGGGCTTGTTGGCGAGATTCGGTGAGCCTCACGGATCACTTGAAGTCGACGAACCAACAACTCGACCCCTTGAAGTCCACTAACATTCAACGTGACGATCGATTCGAGGATGCGGGAGAGGACCTCATGCTCATAGGTCGACCGATCCCCCTTCGGGATTTCAGCACTGCGCAGCCAAAACTCATAGAAAGATGTCGGTGTCATAGCCTGATCTCGAAGGGCTTTCAACACATTGAGGGCCGTTGCTGCAGCCCTCCTCCTTGGGGAACACCTTCAACCATGGCAGCTACGGCCTGAGCAAACTCCCGTCTCCTGATACCCTGGGCGTCGAAGGAAACAGGAAGCACGCGGAGGTCCTCAAGCTTGTAACTGCCTGCATCTGTAACTTTGACCCTTTTGCAAAAACACCCGACTGCTGAACCATCCCTTGCAGGAACAATGGCCTTCTCTCCAATCAACACATGTCCAGCCGGAAGCAGTGCAGGTTCTGTAACAACAATGTCACCCTTGCTATAGCCACCTGCATTTTCAATGCTGACCCAACACATGCTAACCACTCCGGCTGGAGCCGCCCCGGCCCCTGCCCCCGCTGGGGGAGCTCCTGCGACCGCAGCCCCTCCTCCTAGCACTCCTGGTAAAGGAGCGACTGCCGGTGGCGGAGGAACCACAGCCGCATGTCCAGCAGCCATAGGAGCCAGAGGTGGAAGACCTCGGTTGAGCCTCTCGGCATTTGCTTCCATGCGACCTTGTTGAATGTGGTGAGCTAGCGTTCCAGGGTCCATGGGCGCGAACCCATACACCTCATGAGCAGGCACTCTTGCAGGAACAGTTGTAGATGCTCCCAAATAAATGAAATCTGTATAATCCGGATTGAGATGATCTAACTGCTCACTGTATCGGTCAAAGTCCGGCGTGAGGATCTGCCATTCATTGGCTTGTATGTGGCCGAGGAGGATGCGAACATGCCAGACACTAGGATTTTCTCCGTAGTGGACAAGGGCAACATGTCCACTTTCCATTTCAACCAGTCAATGAGAGAACTTTTCCACTCACACCAAAAACTCCCTTCCGTCCCTTGGGACTCGCAGAACCTGCGGTCTCCTTCTTCAAAAAGAACCAGGCAGCTGTCAAGCCCAATCCTAACACGAGGATAAACACCAGGGCCAGAAAGGAGAAACCGGTGCCTTCACTGACACAAGAGCAGCTGCACCGGCAGATGCAAGGCCTTTCCTCGGGGGTCGAAGGCCTTTCGAAAAAGGCACGAAGCCCCCAACCCAGGATCACAGCCCAAAGGTGGGAGGGCAACGTGCCGACATCCATGGCACCGCCCCCGTTCCTGAGAAGATCTTGAGCGATCAGGATGCGGCCAAATCGCTTCCGGTTTACATTAAAGTGCAGGCACTAGACATATATACACACTATTATACACTCAAAGCCAATCTGGATGCCAACAACTTCCCCTCCAATTCAACCGATGCGAACCAAAAAAGCACCAAGCCCGGACCGGGCGCCCTCGGGTGCCGCCCGGACCGGGTGCCCCGGGCTCATCGACCAAAGCCTCAATGAAGCGACCCGTGGCGATGGCTCTTCGCTCGGAACTCCTGGAGGTCGCGTCGCGCGAATGGGGGCGCTGAAAAATGGATGGTCATTCTGAGGTGTTCCGTTCGTAGCGTTCTTGTTCCTAGTAAGGCCAGGAGCCCCGTTCCTAGCGATGCCCTTTGCTCCGTTCGTAGCGTCCTTTGCTCCTATGTAGCGTTCTTGAAAATCCTGCCTTTGTCCAAGTTTGAAACATCCATGCCAATGACAAGTCGAAGCGAATTCCACATGCAATTCCCGGTTCAATGCAGGTTCCCATGTTCCCGTACAGAAAGTTGATCCTTTCACACATCGGGAATCACAGCTTCTGACGAGGACTCGTAGCGGACCACAACAAGGTCGTAGGCTGTAGTAATGGCAGTGGTGGTAGTGCTAATGCTTTCCCATTGCATAGAAGTAAGGTCCGGCACAGACCCTACGGCAAACTCGGTGACGGGTGACTTCTCTCATTGACAAGCTATGCATGTATAATCACATTTGGAGAAGGGCACGTTTTGACCTACTTGAAGTCTAGCTTGTGTCATCATTTAACGAAAACTCCTCACGAACCATCTGACTTGTAACCCCTTGCCAAAAATGGAACAATAATCAGGATCTGTTGACTCAAGGTCACCAGTATGTAGACCTTCCTTCCCACCTCGAGACGGAGACTCCGACGAGCCTCACAAAACAGCCCAAAACAGTGCCCTCTGGCCCATTGCTACGACGGTGAAGCTCGGGTGGCCCGGCCGCGGGTTTTTCCCCACTGCATAGATGATCTGCTCTTCAGTCCTGGCAAGTGGCGAAGGCAAATTAGAAACACAGTAGGAGGGGAAACACACACTACAGCAGCGAGGAAGGTCTCATGCGGCTGACTATCAGTGACTATGATACTGGTGCCCCTAGTAAGGAGAGGCCCCGTCCGCATCATGAGATCGTATTACGGCCGCATTCCCTCCAGGCTTCATTGAAAAGATATCTTGGGAAGCATTCTGGACCTTTTGAAACCCATGGGAAACGCTGGCGTTTGAGCCTCATCCAAAAGCATTCCAAAGCTCGGTATGTTCTCCCACTCCCTCCCGCCCAATGTCTAGCGCCTCAGTGGAAACATTGGCCACCCAAACTGCACTTCATTCCTCCAGCGGAATCCACAGGCAAGACTAGAAAGTGAGCTGATTCTTCAGCTTGTCTGTGATTGTTCGATGTGAGAAGAGGAAGCCACACCGGCCATCGAGGCTCTAGAAGCGGATACCGCTCGACCGACCTTCCGTCGGCCACCGGTCACCGTCGCCTTAACCAAGTCATGATGGGACCTTTGGAGCTTGGATGCGCATAGAGCCTCAGTACTCGCGGCCCGTTTCGCACCGCCGTTTCGCACCGATTGGCCGCTCAACCGTGGCGAAACGTTTCGCTGGGAAACCCGTGATCGCTGTTCCGAAGACCAACGATGTTTCGAAGTGTTTCGAGGTTGAACACGACGAACAAAGGCATTTTGATTGTTGGTGCTTCCGGCCCTAAACATCTGCATAGCACTGGACTGAACTTGACTCTGCAAAATGAGTATAGCCCCCAGGGTTCCATATGACAAGGCCATTACTTAGTTCATCTTGGGAGGTTTCATACGGTTCTCAACGACATACACCGCGCCGCACTGCACTATGAGACCTGAGGATTGGGCAGGCCATCCTCCGATTTGGAGGGGCTAAAATCTGCCTCAGCTGGGTCAAGGCCGCCAAGGCCCCAGCTACTCTGTATGCTTCGATGGAGACAAATGTGCGACGCAATCAGGTGCAGAAAGTCATGAAACATCATGAAACAGCTCCAACATCCAGAACCCCGTGGCGGGTTCCTGGGTTTCAGGCAATAGCAGGATGTAACCTCAGTAAGCGAGGAAATCCTGAGGGCCTTTCCTGAGAGGTCTGACTCCACATGGCCCGCTTGCTTGTTTTCGGCGGAACTCCGCTGGGCCGGAGGTGTGAGCATTCACAAATGTTCCGTCGCTGCCTGTTTCACAGATGCCCCAAATACGACGTAATTATTTATAAAACCGCTCAAAACATCTCTTCTTTGTTACTATATAGTGGCTTCTTGTTACTAGTAGCGATGGCCTCCAACCTAATAGCGATGGCCTCCACCTAGTAGCTTCTAGCTACTGGTAAAGCCGTATAAATCCCTCGCAAAACTTGTCCACATGAAGCGTCCCAAAATGAACTTACCTCCAATCTGAGAGATCCAAGAAAGGTCTTCCAGAGTCTTCCAGAGTCCTCATGATTCCTCCGCCAATCTTCCAAGGTGCTCTAAAGCCACGAGAATGAAGGGATCCGTGACCTTCTTAAAGCTGTCGACCTCGGATCACTACAGTCGCTCTGGGCATTTGTATGGTTGACACATGAAGGCACCATCTGCAAATCACCTTCGCGCGGGCGCGCCACCCTCACCCCAAAGAGACTTTCAAAGGACTTCACGGCGTAATGGTTTTCTGCTCATGACTCACGATCTTTCTATGTGTGCATGGCATATCCATTTCCAAATGACAGACGATGTGGATATCAGCCACCCAGGCGGCCACTACACGATTTTCATCGATTTTCACAGTTGTTTGACAGATTCCTTCTTGTTCCTAGTAGCTTCTTGCCCCTAGTAGTACGGCCAGGAGCCCCTAGTAGCATCCTTGCTCCTAGTAGCGATGCCAGGAGCCCCTAGTGGCTTCTTGTTCCTAGTACGGTTGCCCTGCAAACTGCATGACATTGCCAAAAACATCCCCTCCCTGAAAACCGCTGAGCAACACCACCAATGGTGGCGATGGCGACGGTCGGGAGCAACATTTGGCGTCTGGAGGGCACCCCAACTGTCTGGTCACAAAGGGTAAAAGTGTCGGCTCGACACCTGAGCAGCACAAAGAGCTAGAACTTTAGAACACTGAATGAAGCCCTGCTGTTTCCACTGCAAAGGATGGGTGGCAACCCGGCTATCACTATGCTTTCCTTGTTTGTCTGGTTTGGAAGTGCGTCAAACTTAAGTAACTCTCTACACAGCCAAGTCTGTCTACACGTGCTGGTGCCGTTGCCGCGAGCTCCGCTCCGAATTTGTTGCTGTCCCCCGGAACAAACCGGGCATCCGGCTCTTCCATTGTTCCAAGGCATGCAGACATGCGAAGACCCGTGGGCTTGGTGTCGCTAAAACAGACCTGGCCGACGAAAGAGGTGAACGGGTCAACGCTGTTGCGATCACAAACGACTGCAAAGGAGCGAATGGTTTCGGTGAATTTCTGATCTGAGCAATGGCTGGCTGAAAGTTTCTGTAACACATGAAACCCAAAAAATTGATGTGTATGAACCTCTTGAAAGGCTGCACCCTTAGTTTTGGAATCTAGGTTGCTCCCTATGGGGTTTTAGGAAGGTTCCCAGCAGTGTAGGCAGTCCCCTGATGCTTCTGAGGGTGCAGTTTTTCTGTGGTGGCGAGCTTGGCTTTGTTGTCCTTTTTGGGGTTTGGTTGACTTGGCTTGGCTTGAAACAGCTAGAGGGGGGGACAGCGCTTCCCCCAAAGAGCAAACCGAATCAGCCAACCAAAAAGCTACAAACTGCCAGCACAAAAAATGTGATCAAGACCAAGCCATCAAAATCTCACAAAGTCCACAAGAACCAAAAGCAAGCCATCAAAAACCAACCCGCAACCAACAAACCACCAAATTTCACATGCGCCAAAAACTACTAAAAACCCGCAGAAGAAGCTCAAAACCAGCCATCAAAATTAGAGACAACCACCAAAAGCAAGCAATCAAAAATCAAACCAACACAAAGCCACACAAGCCACAAAAAGCCAAAAACGAAGTCAACAGCCACAGAAACCACCCAAAAACCAAAGCCACACAAGCCAAAAGCCACAAACGCCAAACAACCAAAGTGGGTCCTTCAGGAGTTTGGAAATTTGTAGATGTGCAAGTGTACCAATGTCTCTTGGGTCCGCCCCTGCTTTGGGTTTTGAGCACACGCCAACGAAGCCAAAGGGAACCGAAACCAAATGCCATAAGCCAACTGCCACCGAAGCCACACAAACCACAAAAGCTGCAAAAGCCACAGAAGCCAAAAGCCATAGTGGTAACAAGTGCCTTACTAGTAGTAACAAGAAGCTATTAGGAACAAGTGCCACGCTAGTAACAAGTGCCTTATTAGTAGAAACAAAGCCACTGAAGCAACTCGTTGGATCGTGTCCGGTTGATGGACCCACCATGGCCCGGGATGAGATGCAAAGCCGGTCGCTGTTGCTACTAGGTTGGAGGCCATCGCTAGTAGGTCGTTCCATATTCGTCGCAAAAATTTAAACCAGTCTACTTGAAAAGATCTGGTGCGACCTGTCTGAGCTATTCACCGAAGTCAGTTTATGTCCCAAGCCCAAAAATATGGCCTTTCTAGTAGCTACTAGTAGCAAAGGGCATCGCTACTAGGAACAAGGACGCTACGAACGGGGGGCTCCTGGCCTTACTACGAACGGAGCAAGAAGCTAGTAGCAAAGGGCATTTCTACTAGTAACAAGGACAAAAATATGGCGTGAGTCCGAAAGAATTGAAATGTCAATTTGCTTCTTAGTGACTCGGACCCTTCAGCGCTGTGAAGCTGGACTTTCCCTGGCCTTGTGATAGTATGCGAAGGGCTGCCCAGAAATCTGTGCATACTCAGGTCCCACCTGAAAAAGTGGCTGAGCTGAACACCCCGAGAGGAATGATGAAGTCGAAGGCAGTCAATAGGGCTTCCACTGCCGAGCCAGGTCCAGCACCAACCATCTCATCCTCATCCTGCGAAACTGTAGCAGAAGATTCATGCGATCTTGGCCAGTCTTCTGCTACAGAAGATTCATGCGATTACCCCGAAAGAATACCTGGTCTTCCGGCCAAGTCAAAAAGGCTTCAGAGTCGGACAAACCAAAAGAGAAGCTTCTCCTCATTTCTACACAAATCAAGGCAATCCTGACAATCCTCTTGTGATTCTGCTTCATTTTGGAAGATAGAAAAATATTGCGTCGTCGCGACTTACTGCTGTCCATCGCCCTCAGTCACCAATCCCCGAGTCCCGCCACTGCGAAGGGCCCTGGCTGCCTGCGGCGTCTCAATCGTCTTGAAATTGCCGAATCCTTTAAGAAAGAAGACTAAAAGAGAGACAGAAAACTTGTAGTTGGATGTAGTTAGCGTAGCACTATCAATTGCAATTTGAAAAGCAAAGAACCTACAGACCTATAGATACAGACAGTATCAAACAATATAGCAAACAACAATGCAGCTACACAGAGCACATTGTAAGTTCAGCTGCAGCCCTGTCAAAATAGAATAGCCAACCGAGAGTTCCATTGCCAAACGAAACAATGCAGCTCACTGCCAACCAGATCAAAAACACGCAAACAAAACATGTGCAACCAACCAAAACAAACACACCTCACAAGTATTGCGATGTGTTTCTCTTTTCATGTCAGATAAGTGCTCCGTCTCATCTCTCATGGCACCGTCTGTGATGGCAGGACGTTCAGGACGAGGTCGAGGGGGCACCCAGGTGGGTAGGTCCTAGCTGCACGGCAAAGGATGTTACGGGCAATAAATGCAAGCCCGTCAACATAGCGTTCTCGTGACGGTTACGCCTGCAGGTCTGAAGAAGGACTCCGCTGTTTCTATCCCACCTTGTGAACAACTCGCCAGCCACTCCGAGGCGGCTTCACATCAATCGGCCTTGGACAAGTGAACGCGATAGCTGAATGTGAACATGTCACTGAGTGTCAAACAGGTGCCTGACAAAACAAGCGGCTGGTTGGTCAAGTCTCCCCCAAAAAAAAAGAGGTGGCGTCAGGTCCAAATGCCGTTTCTGTCCCTGAGATTCCAACACGAGGAGCTCCTTTAGGCCCAAGCGGACAGAGACCTCAGCGACCACACCAGATATCCAAACATTTGGCCAGAATCAAGGCCACTTCTCCTTCTCTTCACCCTCGGACTCATTTCTTCCCCGCATATTTCGGCAGGTGAGGGCTTTGAGATTTTGTCAGGCTGTCCTCCTCCTCCTCCTCCTCCTCCGCCTCCTCCTCCTCCTGTAGAATATATGCCAGATAGAGTGCCAACATGTTTTCCAAATAGAATGCCAGAATATGCCAGATAGAGTGCCACAATATATACCACAAAGAATGCCACAATATCTACCAGATAGAATGCCTGAATATACAGGATGCCCGATAGAATGCCAGAATGTATGCTAGAAAGAATGCCAGATAGAGTGCCACAACAATTTATGACAGATAGAGTGCCATACTATATGCCAGTATATATTATATATATATAATATATGCAAGATAAACACTTTCTTGGTGATGTTGAAGCAACATAGCTGTCGGTGATCAGCAGAAAATATAATCATGGTGGGGATAAATCGAAGTAAAGAAATTGATAGAAATTGTACATTCCTAGTAGCAGCAAGGAGGCTACTAGGGGCTCCTGGCATCGCTACTAGGAACAAGAAGCAACAAGAAGCTACTAGGGGCTCCTGGCCTTACTACTAGTAACAAGAAGCTGCGTATTAGATTTCGGATTTAAGTATTGCATTTCATCAGGTGCATGTTAAGCGCATCCCTCGGCCTCCCGGCCCAGCCAGAGTCGGGACCAGCGCCAGTCCCAGCAATACGATCATAGCAAAGTCGGTCCCCTACGAGTTCGACCTGCAAAGGCAGGAACCTGCGGTACCCCGTGGTTTGTTGGGTCACAAAGGCCCTAGGTGCTCTTGGAAGTCCAAGACAGTACCTCTTGGATGACTCACTTGTGAAATCTTCGCCAACCCCCTGCAAAGGCCCTGGGTGCTTGAAATGTGCTTGGTCCATCTTTGTTGTGTCTTCTCCTCATGAACGCACATAGAATCCTGCAACAGTATCCAGCATCTCCAGGGGCAATGTGTGAGCTGCAAAAACCAGCACAGTAGGCATCGTTCCTGTCTGTGGCTTTTACCTGAGGAGAAATCTTTGGCAAGCTTGCAATAGCTGAAAGCAAGCCGTAGTAACGAGACGCTGCTAGGTGGAGGCCATCGCTATTAGGTTGGAGGCCATTCCGACTAACAAGAAGCTAGTGGTTTGGAGGTAGTTCCTTTGTGACACCCACCTTCACCACCTTCATCCCTCCAGGCTCTCCGGGAAGCCGCCTCCATGACCAAGGACCCGGTGGTCAGGCGATCCGGGAAGGGCGTCGAAGAGATCTCCTCAGATGAGAAAATCCCAGTGACCAGCAGGTTGACTCATTGGAAAAGCCCCATGATCCAGAGCCATGACCTGTGCATGACGCTAGATCTTTATCCACAAACCTCCCCGCTTCTCTCCAGTGAGACGAACTGAAAAAGGTAAAGTCACTTGCTGTAGCTCTGTACAAACCATGTCATTCTGTCCTCATCCACCCTGACAATCACCTCAGGGACTCTGAACAGCCACAAGTGTCACTGATCATTTTTGTCGGATGAGGTCCCTTATATAAGCACAACGAATCTGAGACTCCTGCTCCACCCTTGTCGGCACCTGAAGGGTTGGTATACAGCACGGTACGACAGTACCGGAAAAATCAAAAGTTTAACTATACTAGCGATGGCCTCCAACCTACAAGCGATGGCCTCAAACCTACTAGCGATGGCCGCCTCCAACCTACTAGGGATGGCCTCAAACCTACTAGCGATGGCCTCCAACCTACTAGCGATGGCCTCCAACCTACAAGCGATGGCCTCAAACCTACTAGCGATGGCCGCCTCCAACCTACTAGGGATGGCCTCAAACCTACTAGCCATGGCCTCCAACCTGCTAGTGATGGCCTCCAAACTGCAAGCGATGGCCTCAAACCTACTAGCGATGGCCTCCAACCTACTAGGGATGGCCCAACCTATAAGCGATGGCCTCAAACCTACTAGCGATGGCCTCCAACCTACTAGCGATGGCCTGCAACCTACAAACGATGGCCTCAAACCTACTAGCGATGGCCTCCAACCTACTAGCGATGGCCTCCAACCTACAAGCCAAACCCACTAGCCAAGGCCTCCAACCTACTAGTGATGGCCTCCAACCTACTAGCGATGGCCTCAAACCTACTAGCG